ACGTGCTGACTTTTAAAATTTAAGACTGCGTCAACCAAACTTCCAACCAATTACAAACTTGAACGAATAGTTAATCTGCAAAGTAAATACTACAAAGTTAATATGCAAATTGATCTTTAACTATTTGTTGAATTTCATCATTTGTCGTCTGATAAAGTTTAACGTTACAAATTCAATCGTGCGTGCAATATCCACAATTTTCCCTGATATCGCATGAAAGTTTTGTTAAATTTTCTTCTTTGGATGTAAATTGATTGGGCGCTTCTGGACAAACGAAGCTCTAACGATTCTCCCCAAAAACATTGAAATCCTGGCCACAGGTTTGATGTCTTGCTACATCATCTCCAAAATGGAAATTTCTCCAAAAGGAGAATATTTCTCGTAAGAAATCAATTTGATTGAATTTTTCTATACATATCATGCGCTTTTGATTTTTGAATTAAAATAGAACAAGTGTTCTAACGGGAACTTTGTGATTGAGGGTCAGTTTGTGTGGGACCCATTTTCCGCATCTGTTTCGCTTTCCAATCAAATGTAAATGTTCTTCGATCGTGCTATGATGAGTATTGAACATTTCCGACAACTCCCGAGTGGTGCAAATGGGATCTTCTTCGATAATTTGCAAAAGTTAAGACTCATCCAGTTTTCGAGGACGTCCTTCGTGATGCTCATCTTCTAGGCTCTCGTTTCCACATTGAAATCGCTCAAACCATCGATAACATCGGCTTTCGCTAATACTACCTTCGAAAGGCCTTTGAAATAGAATTATGCTATTTTCGGGCAGATTTCCCAAGCGCAAAGTCATAGAGTAAAGCAGCTCCCAAGGGCACAAGACAAAAATCGCATTATTCTTCCGCCAACCTAATATATTCATTTATTCTAGCTCAAATATATTGGCAACAAGTTATACTTAAAAATGGTGTTTATTTTGAATAAATATATAGTTTATTTTTTGAAAGATTACAGTTCAAACATTTACTAAAGACTTATGCATCAACTTATTAGGTTGCCCCATAAGAAATTGCCGTTTTTCAAAAATTTTTATTTTTAACACAAAATAAAAAGTAACAACCTAGATCATACAATATATTTTCCATGATTATTATAGACATTTAACCAACGTTTTGGTAACTTTTCAAGTCCTCGCTTATAAAAATCGGGTTTGGCGTGAAAGAAAGTAGTCCTCCAATTCCTCTTCGAGGTCACCTCGGTTGTTGAATTGCTTGCCTCGAAGGAAATCCTTTAGCGACAAAAATAAGTAATAATCCGAAGGAGCAATATCCGGGCTATCAGCGGGATGTGAAAGTACATTCCGGTGCAAATTGTTTTCCATAAAATTCTTCGATTTGCTCGATTTGTGAGAAGGAGCGTTTCCTTCAAGCACAACAACGGGACCATTCCATTCATTCTGATAAAGCAATCGGTGAATTTTCTGCTCTACCTGTTGCATATGGCGTCTATAAACATCATTGTTAAAAGTTTGGCCCTTCAGGAGGAGCTCCCGAAAAAGTATGTCAGAGCAACACCAATTGACACAGAGAAGTCGCTTATTCCCATGAATATTTCGTTTTGACACCACTTTTCCCAATCGACCTTTCCTCAACCATTGTCGTTTCAACACTCGACCATCATAGAATATCCATGATTGATCATGAGTCACTATATTGGAAAGAGGAAGCCGACCGCATCGATATTCGTTCAGTAGTTGACGGCATGACCGCGCTCTTTGGTCCTTAATCGAATTGTTCAATTGATAGGGAATTTTCCCCTGTTTCAACCACTTTCTTCCAGTTTTTTTGAGCCAACGCCATACTATCATCTTCCTCGATAGTCTTGTGCCAAAATCTGAGTCGATCCTTTGGGATTTTGCCGAAGTCGGCGCCTCAACGCCTGTCGATTCACTTTTCTGGGACGACCGCTTCCTCGTTTTCGTGTGAGCCGAGTGTCACCTTTTCGGAACTTCTGAAACCACCATCGTGCAGTCCTTTTTTTGACGATTGTTGATCCATAAAAAGAATTGATTTCTCTCGTTGCTTTGGCCGCCGAAATCCTCTTCAAATACCGTTCATACATGTGTTGATGGATTTCTTCACGAGACGGCGCCATTTGATCGATTCTTTTTCTGTTTTTGGTTTCTAAAAACGAAAATTTAGCACACACAACTAGAATTGTAAAGCAGTAAAATAAAAAAGAAAAAGAAAGAGAAAGTGTTAATTTGTCGCTGAATACGAATCAAATAAAAAACGGCAACTTTTTATGGGACAACCTAATAATACAGCATTTACGGTAGGTTATTTGTCCAACAACGGCCAATCAGGGCTAATAATAAGCCAGAAGTTAGGCGGCTTGGACTGGTTTCCAATTCAAACCATTTTTCTTTTGATTTCGCACGGCCCCACCTTGCAAACTTGTCCAAGGAAAAACTGAAGATTAATGTCTTCCAAAGAGCTCCTGTTTTCCAATTCGATCTCCCAGAAAGCATCTGTTTTCCAATTCTAACCATTTTATGCATCAACCTAAGCTCATATTTGTAATTCTTGACCCTTTGACTTGACCATTAACCATTGAATATCTACAAGACATCATGCCAGCCAGCAATTTCCAGAACCGAGAAAATGAAGAATAAAATAGCGGCTTTTGATCTCGTTTCTTGATAAAGAAATGACAAAAGAGAGATTAGAAAAAGTAGAATTGATTCAATTTGATAATCTGAAATACAATACACAAGTAATAAGAGTAACCTTTGACTTTGATGCTTGAAAACTAAAATAAACAAGGGACCATAAAAAAGTAGAATTGGATCTCGACCCCAAGTGGGAAAGGTTTTCGACTTTCTGAAGTAGGACAGGTGGTGGCAACTTTTCCTATTTTGGACTCTGGGATATTCAGAGTTGTTCCAAAGGAATCTTTGGAACAACTCCTTTTCCTTTGGTCGAGTTCCTTTTTGATAAAGCCAATCGAGGTCTAAATTATTTCTCCAAACACAAACCCTTCCCAAAATTAATGAGAGGAATCATTCAGGGGTGAGTATTGAAGTTGAAAGCTTTTACCTTCCAAAACACTTTCAGCATTACTATCAAATCTCATCAATTGACGACATTCATTCAAATGAACTCAAACTCGATGATTTGAATACAAGTGAGAAGTTTTTCAAAGTCTTCAATCCAAAAAAACCATTTCAAAAGCCAAGGAGGCAATATTCAAGCTGCACGACGGTGTGACGGATCAATCTCGATTTGAAAAATATCAAGGTACAGTTTTAGGCAGATTTTTACAACAACTTTATTTCAGCTTGCACGAGCCTTGATGATAGATCTTGTTCCGCTGGTCGAACATGCTATATGAGTCTTCATTTTGATACAAACAGACAAGACAAAAGGCCATATAGTGCTTACGAATGTTTACATGTGAAATAAAGCTTTAAAGTTTTGAGTTAATGACAAACTAGGATCGTTACGGTTATCGGGGGATGGGGGCTGGTTTTTAACCATTTTGCTACCCGATTTTAGATAGGTTTTTGTTAATAACCTTTGATAAAACAAATAGTTTCTGAAAGCTGACGTTCTGAGCTATCTAAATCTTATTAAAACTTCCTGATCTAACAAGTTTAAGGTGCTTAAAAATGAGCTGCAAAATGGTCAAAAACTCGTCTCCCCCCCCCCCCTCCACCGCACTACAGGTACGTTCTTGAATAAAAATTTGATAACGACAGATTAAAAATCTGGATGCTGTAGTTGTATGCACTCCAGCTAAGAAGTTCGCAAAAAATAAAAAAATTCTGAGCACTCACAAAAGAGGAATAAGCGCCGGAAGATTTGAGGGTCTGCGCGCTAAAATGTGGGCAAATTACCGTAACCCAAAGGGTCAAATGGCTGCGAAATCGCTGAACTTTTCTCGTTTTTCAGAATTGAATTTAATAATAATGAATGAGTGCAGTTATATTGTTTTATTTTATTAAATGTTTCGCTCATAAGATGATTTTTATTTTTTTTATAATAAAATTAGCAATATTAAAATATAAAACAGCTGGTTTTTTTTTTAATCTTCAAAAATCCTTTATGATTACCCGGCGGTCATTAATATCCCTCCTTGAAACAAAGCAATCTGTTACAGAAATAAAAACTTAACTTTGTCGCATCGCTCACTGAAGGTTTTATCACAAAGTAAATTTGAAAAAACGAGAAAAGTTCAGCGATTTCGCAACCATTTGACCCTTTGGGTTACGGTAATTTGCCCATATTTTAGAGCGCAGACCCTCAAATCTTTAGGCGCTTATTCCTCTTTTGTGAGTGCTCAGAATCTTTTTATTTTTCTTGCGAATTTCTTAGCTGGAGTGCATACAACATTTCACAGGATTCAGATTTTTGATCTCTCCTTACAACTTTTTGTACTTGTAGTGTACTTGTTGTACTTGTGGTGTACTTGTTGTACTTGTGCACTGCACCACCGAGTCACTTTTTGACTGCCTGACCCACCACCGAGCCTGAGCCACGGTAGTCCTTACAAACTCATAATTCCCTCAGTGCACAAGAGGGTCAAATTTCAAATGCATTTTTAGAGCATATGAAATTTAGAGCATATGGGTAAAAGCTAAAAACGCCATCGTGTTGCCTGTGTCTGACTTGCTTCCCCCCAGATAACCGTAAAGATCCAAAAGCTAAATTAAAATCTTCAAATTTTGATAAACAGCAAGAATTCTTTGTGTTTTGTTGCAAGAATACTAAATGCTAATTCAATTTGAATCTCACTTGTGCTTTAATTTTGTTGACAACTTTTAAAAAACCCTTGGAAAGCGTCTTGAAGTTTGCCGATAACAAAATGGATATAAAATAGGCAAAAATGGAGAAAATCTTATCAGAAAAGCGTCGGCAACACGTGAAATTTGAAAGAATTTCGGCGGTTATCTCGAATTTTATTCAATTCTCAGAAGAGCACATTCATTTTCGCTCTTTCAAAAAAGCCTTGCAATTGCAATATTACCTGGCAAATCATTGCCAAGTATGACTCGTTTGTCATGGTTGATTTTAGTGGTAACTATCCAGGTTTGTTCTTCAATGAAATGAAATTTTCAATATTAAACTCATAGCTTACAATTGCTGACGATTGTGATCTTTGTCACAAAATGGCTCAATATGTCTTATCGTTTAAAGGTTTGGACAAAAACCGATCTCACTCATCTATTATAGCGTTCACTAGACCTGCTTATCGATATTATTAATAAAAATGGCAAGCTTATGTTTGACCATTCAGAACTCTGTTTATAGAACAGCTATCAATATGTAAATTGTTTCATTGGAAAGCCAAGAATGTCAGCTTTTAATTGCTATCTCACACATAGCAATTTCTCATAGGTGAGTACCTCAAAAAACTTATCAATACTTCGATAAGGTTTATGTGGTGCTTACTTATTAAAAGTCGCTAAGTATAAAATAGCTAAAATAACCATCTGTGTCATGGTCCAAAAGGGCAATACAATAAAAATAGCTTCATTTTGCATTTTGCATCTGTTCGTATGTCACCATAGTTTTTTGTTTCAGGTCAAGCCTACGCTGACGTGAAAGCGAAAGCGATTTCCTCAATCAGAACGTTTCCCACTTCGGATCAACCGTTTCTCAATAACTTGATCAGGTGCCGGAAAAGATTCCAAAAAGAAAAGAGCAACAAGTTTTGCTAAAAATTGAATTAATTAAACGGTAAATTTATGCTTCAATCTAGCTACAACTTCCGCAAACTCTACATGGATGTGAATAGTGCAGCGAGTGGAATGACCCCATCGACCTCTTGCTCTGATATGGGATTCTGTGATACAAAGGTGGTTTAAAAGTTTTTGAATTGGATTTTTATCTAAGCATGATATAGTTTACTATAAGTTTAATACAAATCAAAGAAAATCTAATTGAAACTAAAATCTCACTTGCATTTGCATTATTCAGGACGAGTTCAAAGCTCCATTCACCATTGTCGACTACAAGGCCTCGTTCTGGGATGATCACTCGGCTGTCAAGTTTTAAAAGAATCTTAACTTCATTTTTAAGATTTAGAAATACCCGTGACAAGACGATTATTGTCGTTCATCACACCGTTGATCCGACTCTTCCTGACACAATTCTCTCATTGAAAAACGCAGGGCTTTCTGTGCAATATATTGGTAAGCAGGCTATTAGAGAATACTAGGATTGTGCCAAGGACAGTAAATATTTTCCGGGCCAGATCAGATTTGCCTTTGCTGTGGACTGATGTGACTGATTGCAGATCAGGCCCACAAAAACCTGGTCTTAAGATCCCGATTGTAAGCCTGGATTACAGATTCTCAGTTATGACTTACAGAAGTCATTAATCTATTAATTTAGTTGACAGAGATGGAAAAATTTATCGTCTCGTGGACGATTACAGACGAGCCTACCATGCGGGAGCTGGAATTTGGCGCGGAGATGGGTGAGTTGTAAAAACTTGTTGCACTTTATCTGACAAAATTTGATTAATGAACGTTTTTTCTTGAATAGATAATTCATCTTTTTCGTTTCTTTTCGTTTAAACAGGAAAAGAACTCTAGCTAAGAATGAACAAGTATTCGTAACGTTCAGCTTTCCCAATAGAACTTTTAGATGCACCGTCGATGACACGAACACTCGCTCGGTCGGCATTGAGACAGTTAACACTGGAGGAGAGCCCTATCCGGACGTTCAGGTTAGTTAATAAAACTAATGCACAAAACCTAAGGCAACACTGAAAATAAAAACGTTGATAATGACGGGCAATTAGTTACCTAAAAAAAGATCAATTTACATATCATGATTTGGAAACAGTTCACAATTCAAAGATTACCGGATTTCTGCTAATAGTAGTGAACCTTAAATTGCTTAAAATCTCGAAAACCGCTTATGAAAACCTATCGATGTGGGGTTGGAAAATGTGGCTGATGATGAGTTCTTGTGGGGGATTAGAGTGTTGAGCTTCTGGGAAAACTTGGAAACTGTAAAATAGTCATCAACTCGGCTCAGCGAGGTGCACTACTATTAGAGAGAATACGCTATGTGTTGCATCTCATATGAAGACAGATTAAGCCGAAAATGTGTCGATTTACTTAAAGTTTGTTATAACTTCATTTTTATAACATTTTTACACTTATATTCCAATTTTTAGCCAGATAGACCGGCTATAAGAAAAATTAGGGCCATTAAAAGATCCGTAAATAAAAGCGTCTGGCACGAAGAGGCTTTTGTCCATAAAGATTGAAGATTAAAATAAAAATCTAATCAAATATATCAAAACCTATCGATGTGGGATTTGAAAATGTAGCTGCCGACGAGATCTTGTGGGGGTTAGAGTGTTGAGCTTCTGGGAAAACTTGGAAATGTAAAATAGTCATCAACTCGGTTCAGCGAGATGCACTACTATTAGGGAAAATACCATAACCGGATACAGCTCAAAGGAGGGTCCGAATCAGGGCGGATTCTCACTAAAGTTGTCGACAGATAGGTGAGTAATAATTTTTGATGGTTTTCTGTCGAAATGATTGAAGGAAATCGGTTTATCAATAATTTATCAAGCATTAAAAGATGACCTTGAGTATAGCTAGTTTTGCTTGGAGGGATGTGGCGGAAATCTGGCCTAAATTAAGGTAAAAGTTGATTAGAAAAATTTGAGCATAGTGGCACCCGGAAAGCAGAAAAACTCATTTGCTTACTTACAAAAAAGAAGATATTCAACTGTAAATTTTCGAGAGTTTTCGGGGTTAAACGATTGGCGAAGTAAGGAAAGAGTTTACTGACAGTTCTAACTTCAACAACTTCATTCTAACAACTTCTAACAATTTCTTGACCTTCTTGTCGATAAACACATTAGAAATCTTCGTCTTCAGTTCAAAAACGATTGACGGTATTCATTTTATTGAGTCTACTAATTGAAACTCGAGTTTAATTGGTCTAAACTTTTAGACTTATCTTCGAGAAGTGATTTGCAGCTTTCAAATGATATATAATAAGCATAGGTCCAAGAAAACATTTCAATTCTGTCTGTCGATAGTTTTAGTGAGAATCGGTCTTAAATTTGGGCCTCTCCTTTAAAAAACTCAAAATAGGTGAATCACTAAAATTCAGGTAAAAGCTCTGCACCAATTAATCAGCTATTTGCGAACGAAATGGCACGTGGAACCACAAAATATTATTGGTAAGTTGAAAAATAATTGAAGAGACAAGTGTTTTCAGCTCATCACGAAAATTCGCCATGGCAAAAGTACGATATTTCGGGCTATTTTTCATGGAAATCACTCTACGATGAATTCAAGGAGAATGTGGGACTTTGGAAGAGTAATCTCACAGCAGCTCAACAAAAAGAAGTTGTTCTATCGGATAAAGTAAAGGTTTGCCTAGGTTGAAAGTTAAATTTTCAAATTTTTCCTTCAGAATGCCACTCTCTTGAAAGAAGTGCAACAGAAGCTTTACGAGTAAGTTGGGATATTCAAAAGTAATGAAAGAATTTGCTTCTAACAATTTCTTGATATTCTTGTCGAGAAACATATTACAAATATTCGGCTTCAGTTCAATTTTTTATTAGGTGCATAAGAAATGCGGATTTCAACATTTTCATATCTTTTTTGATCACTCGCATTTCGCCCTCGAAATTTCTTCAATGCTTCGATCAATTGAAACACGTTTTAGCGTATTTTGTAGAGGAGATTTACAACTTTCAAATAGTTTATAGCATTCATCGATATCAGGTTCGATGAATGCTATAAACTATTTGAAATTTATGAAAATGTTGAAAACCGCATTTCTTATGCATGTACCTAATATTTTCAGGTACGGTCATGGATACATTGTTGTTGGAGATCCGTACAGCACCTCAGCCACCAGCAAAGTCACCACCGCACTCGCCATTCAGGCGTTCAACCGAAAGTTTTGTCCAGAGGTTTGTCAAGTTTATCTTTTAAAAGTTTTTGAATTGATTCCTAAAAATGCCTTTTAACACATCGCGACGAGATAGCTCACCGGTAAGCCGTATGTGAATTTTGCACTTTTTTAAGGACGATTAAGTTGAAAATTTGCAATCAGGGGTTTTCGAGAATGAGGAATTCGAATTCGTTATTAATTTTTAAAGAAAACTGCTTTATTTTTGGATATTTCATTCGGTTTAATTGCCCAAGTGCAACCCAAAATCCAGGGTCGTGTGCCAGAAGGTAAAACAAAAACGTAAAAATTTTCATGTTTAGTAATCGCACGGCTTCTGGTACACGGCCTCTAGGAAAAGACAAAACCTCGGTTTCACCTTTTTCTCTCCAATTTGCTTTAATTACCCAAGTTTTAGAGTTTTGTGATGACCGTATTGGCTCGGAAATTAAAATTGGTTTAAAACTAAGAACCGATTCAGATTCTCCATCTCCATGCCTCCGGTTACAAATTTTCTGTTTTACTGTAAATACTCTAATAGAAGCTCACTTCATACAAAATTGGTCGCCCAAAAAGTCACTACTTTTGAAAAAGAGTTTTGTTGAAAAGTGCTTAGAATGATGGCTCTTATGTATATAGATACTTTATTCAGGACCTGAGATAAAGTGCGCTAGATTTAAGATTAAAACACATGAATTCATACACATAGCACGAAATGCTTAGAATGATAATATGTATAACCTAGAAGCGTTGGCAGTAAAATTTAAAAGGATGTAAAACGTTTCGTCCGAAACGGCAGTCAAAAATGACTTTGTCGGAAATGTGTTAAAAACTAGACCTGGTTTTCGAATGGAATCAGTCCAATTCGATTGGATTTGAAAAATTTGGATTTTCGGTCGATTCGATAGATCTATAGATTCGAAGTTTTTACACTTTCAGTCTGGACCTAACCGATTCGATTCGGAAAAAAAGCTAGACCGAAAACCAGCTCTATTACAAACTACAATTTTCTGACTGTTTTTAATTTAAAGAAATGGATAGTCAGTGAGCTTTAATCACGATCAATAGCATTTTGGGATCCACTATTTCATCAATTAAAAATCAAAAAAATAAACCATCAAGGGTTACTTTTAGGTATTCATTCTCGAATCGGTAAAAAACGGAAACGAGGTGACACATGCTGAGAATCTTCAGGTGAGCAAGGGAATCAAGTTATGCGCTAATTTTCTAGTAAAACATAAGGCCCTACCAATGGCGATGGAATAAGTGTAGCTCGTTGGTAGAGCGTTCGCCCTGTAAGTGAGAGGTGACGGGTTCGAATCCTGGCGCTAACCATGTATTCCGCAACCGATAAAAGGACCGGCTTGTCTAACTGTTTCCTGGTTTAGTGCCAAAAAAGGCTCTGGCTTGGCCCAAGTCTTGAACAGGATTGTTTCAAAGAGAATTTTTTCGGGCCAGGGCCTGAGCCTGGACCTCTGGTCTGTCCTTAGGAAAACTTTTATGAGTGAAGATCAGAAAGACAATAACTGCTTTAGGTCAAGGTTCCAGGTAAGTTTTTTTGGAAAAAGATTTACTGGCTAATTAGTGGGTTGGTGAATTGAAAACTGCGGGGCTTTGAACTAAGATTTATTGAACATAAAACCATCAATTCATTTCAAATAATTTCCATTATTATTGACGCCTTCTGCCCATTTTACAGGCAATTTGCGGATTCCTCTTTCGTAGTAGGATTTTGGTTTGTGTGTGAGACAAGTGTGAGACTCAAAAATGGAGGACTGGAGATGTCCCAGTTTGAGCACTTTCTTTAAAAGAAACCCATTTTGGTGTTAATAGAAAAGTTGTAGAGAATCAAAAATTAGGCTTATAGCCAAATTTCCAAAAAGATACACTTAGTAGTTTCGCTTAAAAGGCAAGTTTTGTGAAAATTCGTAAATTTGACATTTCTTGAAAATCAGTTTTTGAATCGTTCTGAAAATTTGGATATAAGCTTAATTTTTGATTTTCTACAACTTTTCCATTGACACCAAAATGGGTTTCTTTTGAAGAAAGTGCTCAAAATGTGACATATGACAATAGCCGGCAGTTTTCAATTCACCAACCCAATATTTTACGGTTTTAACAACCCTGGTATAGACGATTGATAGTTTTTGAATTTATTTTATCAAAAGCTACACATTTCCACATTTTACAGACTTTTTATCTGAACACTCTCCTTTTCAGACCTACAAGCTCACTGTGGAGCGACTCAACTGGTTGCACGCACACACGAAGCTTCCCAATTGCACAAACTATTAAAAAAATGGCTTGGGATTTATGAAATGAATAGATTTGAGTAAAAAAGTTGTATGAATACAAAATAAAACTAAAAATTCACAGATTTTTCAGTTTCAAACCCGTTTGGCAAAAACATTTAGTTAAAAAGCTTATTTCTTTTTACTGAACTCATCCAGTTTGATAAAAACTGGGTGAGATTTTATTTGTCCTCATTGTTTCTTATCAAACTTTTTTTTGCCTCTGTCTGTTGAAGTCAAGAAAATACGGAAGTCCGGTCAAAAAGTCCTTTTCTTTGGTTCTTTTCTCATCGATTTTCAAATTATAAGTTGATAAGGGCAGACTAGCCTTTATTTTTGAAATATTACTGGTTTTTAACTTTAAAATGGAAATCAGCACGTCAATTCGCAAGAAATTGCTATTAGCTATCGTTTACATTGCTCTGTTGCTCGATTATTCATTGCTAACTTCTGTTGGCGAGTTTTGGACAGTTGAAAGAGATCTTAGACAGCTTTGAGACATCAAATGAAAGAGCAATTTATAAAGTTTAAAAGCTGATCATTGAGAACTAGCTATAAGTAGTAATTCAGTGAATAAACACCGTCCAAGCTTTCACCAAAGCACTTTTGAAAGATGAATGTAATGACGAAATCTCAGCAGTTCCCCTATTAAGCCTAAAAAGGTCTTTGTTCATTAAAAATTCTTTTGATTGACTTAAAAAATATTCCTTTTCGTAATTCCTTTTGAAAAATAACAAATTCATCAATTAACTTATGATTTGCCTAAATAAAAAGTGTTTATTGTTCAATTTTTCATCTTTTTAAGTCAATTTCGGTTCAATTTCAAGCAATGAAAAACGTGTTTTTTGTCAAAAACTATAAAAACCTCTACAAAGAAGTCGGCTGAATGAATTTCTCTGAAAATTTCACTATTTATCTAACTTTTTATGCTCTATCTTTCATCTATTGACACCAAGATAGGTTGCCTTAGCTAACGTGTCTAAACCCCATCATCGAGCCGCATTTTTGACTACCCGACTTCTCGCTCCTAAAAAAAGCCAGACATAAGACACTTTAAACCCATTTTAATGTCATTTTGTAAAAAAATAATTGATTTTTTAATGAAACCAACCGTAGTTCAATTGGTGAATTTTTTGGTTTTAAACGGAAGTACGAAAAGGAATGAAAAGACTTTCTGGACAGCCTAACAACTAGATTAGTTTAGAAACGCTTTGGTAAAGCCTGCATTACCCTAACTTCATAATCTAGACCGAAAATCTTCATTTTAAACCATGAAAAACAAAAAATGAGAAGTAAACTTACCATTAGACAATTTTTAGAAGATTAAACTTCATAGAATTAATCTGGCTATGAGCCTTGAGCCCTGAACCCACTTGAACTTTAAACTTTGAATAATCTTCAACCTAAAATGGTAGACTTCATTCTTGAGTGACAATATTTGAAACCCAAATCTTATGCAGATTGTACCTGTGTAAATGAGCCATCTTGCCAAGTTTACAGAGCCAATCTTGCCGAGCTTTTTCCTACAAATCGACAGTTCTAACACCACTTTAGTGCCTGTAAGTTTGATTTCTCATTGATTTTTAGCCAACTTTTCTTTAGACAGATCAGCCACAAGCCAGACAGGCACAAATTGAGAGTGAAAACATGAGGCTTGGGTTTTTAGTGGGCGCAAAATGTTTAGTGCAAGTCGTCACTCAACCATTTATCGGACCAGCAACAACAAGGTGGGTTATGATAATATAAATTCATTCGAATTCTTTTAGAATTGGTTACTCGATTCCATTATTCTTTGGGTTTGTCGTGATGATTTTGTCTACAATTTTGTTTGCTTTCGGACAAAGTTATGGGATTCTTTTCGCTGCGAGGGCCGTTCAAGGGATTGGCTCGGCCTGTGCGGCCTGTGCGGCCTGCTGGTAACATTTCCAAGAAACCTAAGCAATATGGTGAATCAGATACAAGTTAATATGTTGTTGAAAGTAAAGCTAGGATGACACAGAAGACTCCTAATAATGAAAACAGTCTGCCAATGAGGCAATGACAGCTGTATTTAGTTTCTCAAATCAAAAGACTCAAAAAAATACGAGCTTTCAGGCATGGGAATGCTAGCTCAACAATATTCTGATGACAAGGAACGATCCCGTTATATGGGAATAGCGATGGGTGGAATGGCGTTAGATAAAAAGCACAAAAACCTAACAAAATTTTACCTACTCTACATTCAAGAGGCATTATAAATTTGTTTTCAAACTTTACACTGAAAGAGATTCAGCTAAAACTTTTCTCATAATTTTAGGTGCAGATAAAAAGCTTTGTAGGTAGACAAAATGAAACTTTGAAGAGTAAACTTTTATTTTAAAATCCCTATTTGATACTAATGAACAATAAATTAACAATTAAATTCAAGCGATCACCATTTTTAGCCGAGCACATTGTCTAAAACAATCTTAAACCAGTGTGACAATGATAACGCAATGATTATGTGTTGAATTTTTAGGCACATTGTTTACGAATGTTTACGAAAAATGAACCACCAAAACGAGCTGTCAATGTTTTTTTCTTTTCTCTCAAAAAGTCGATCGTTTCTTTGATGGGTGAACACTTTCAGATGTGTCGGATCGACAGTGAGAACGGACATCACTTTAGAGGAAACGATAAAAAAGAAACGAAACACTTTAGAGAAGGAAACGAGTGTAATGTCTGACAAATGATTGTGCACTTTCGGTAAATGGTTTGCAAACAATTTTTACAGGATTAAGATACAAAGGTTGAATAAGAATGAAACATCAAAATATCTTTCAGATCTCAAAATGATAGGATATGATAGAAAATGATAAGAAATGATAGAAAATAATAGAAAATGATAGGAAAGGATAGAAAATTATAGGAAAGGATAGAAAATAATAGAAAATCATAGGAAATCATAGGAAATTTTTATCGATGTTTTGACCATTTTGATGGATTTTTATGCATCTGTTGACCATTCTTATCGATTTTATTGATTTTTATTGATTTTATTGATTTTTATCTGTTTTTTAATCATTTTTGACAATTATTATCGATTTTCAGCTATTTTTGGCCATTTTTCTCCATTTCTTCACCATTTTTCACGTTTTTGAGTGATTTTTATTGATTTTTATTGAAAATTATCTATCTTCTTGAACATTTTTCAACATTTCTTGACGATTCTTACCCATTTTGTAGCCATTTTCATCAATTGTTATCCATTTTTTGACTATTTTCATCCATTATCATCCATTTTTTGATCACTTTTAACGATTGATATCGTTTTTAGCTAGTTTTTAACCACTTTTATCGATTTTTATTCATTTTTATTCATTTTTCCTTTTTTCGCTTCAATCTTCTCTATCGGTTCTCGATTTCCGGATCAATTCTATAGATCGATTCTATTGTTCCAGACCTCTAGGTGTGGTTCTAAATGGGAAAATGACGGAATCGCGAGAATCGATGTATAGCATGAATAATATTGTAAGCAAGTTTGGATAGATTTCGACTTTCAGCTTTCAATTTGATCCTATAGTTCAATTCAATCATTGCTCAACTTTGACACAAAGGTATAGCAGAAAAACACACGCGGATGCCTCGCCAGACCTAAAAACCGGGTAGAGGCTTTGGAATCGAAAACCTGATTCTACATTGTTTACTGGCTCTAATTGCAAACACAGGTCGTCATTCTTTATCGAGACATTAGACAAAATCACAATGGACAAAATGGCACATAGAAATTTCAGTTTTCATCATGATAAAACACATCACATCATAGAGAACAAAAAATAGCCTTTAAACCAAAATACGGAATAAATATTGTGCATTATTCTGCGTGGTCATACGCCATATATAAGTCAGCTCTCGGGCCCGGCACTAGTCGAGTAATGGAGAACCAGCTAAACCAATTTTGCAATAGAGAGTCTCATTGCACGCGGTTCAACCGCTATAAAAAAAGATGCTAAAACATACCTAAACGTCTCTTGCTCTTTATCGATGCTAACAGTAAGCCCAACGATATCCCCATTTGCTCTTTTCAAAGCGAGGGCAGAAATGATGTCACCCCACTTGCAAAGCAAATTTACATGTTGCAATTGAGGTAAATTGTGATAGAACTAAAAGTTGTGCATTTATCTCGCGAAATCCAATTGCTTTGAACTGCTTTTCAATGGTTATTTAGCCTATTTAGACCATTATATTTAAGTCGATCTTTCCGATTTTTCAAAAACTTTATCCAAATAGTTTTCAGCAAAATAAGAAAGTCAAAAGAGCTCACATTTTGACGTTCTACTTCCCGGCCAACTACGTAAAGGGAAATTTTATCAATTTGCCGCTCTGAAGTGTACCACTCTCGAATCATCGGTAAGATCCCATCAAGAGTGCACCTGGTGCTTGTTGGAAAGTGACTGGAGAATTTCGAAAGAGTTGAACCCAACAAGATCTGAACAATGTGCAGTAAGCGTCGTAACAAAAATGGTTCATCGATAGTTAAATAAAAACAAACCGGGTCAGTTAATGGATCAACCATGGCATTCCCGTCAGCCAACAAAGTAACTTTTTGCAATCCAATCGCATATTTATTGGCGAAAAAGCCACTCGGAACCGGAAAACTTTTGTTGTCGCCATACGCCTTAATCAGTCTAATTTTGATTCGTTTAATACAAAGTTACGAAAATTGCTAGCCGGCGTGTTGGTCTTATACTGCCGAAAATATCCATGAATCTTTCCGGTGAAAGCGTCGTTTCCCAGACCCCACAATGCAATCCTTCACATTCAAACTTGCAATTTGCAAACATGTCCCAATTCACGTCATTCTAGAAGGGAAATTTTAAGCGCTATAAAGTTATTCGTGAAAACTAACCAAGGCGAGGTTGTTGCAGCTTATACGATCTTTCAAATACTCTAAATGCTCAATTAAGTTGACTGGATCGATCGTTTCCCTATAGTCAAACTCGTCATCGTCATAAGTTCTTTCCCCATCGCTAGGCCGTCTATAGAGGCCAAACTAAAAGCTCTGTTCTTGTAACTAACACAACAAAATCTTACCTTGTTTCCCTCAAAATAAAGCTGATCGATATGAACAGGAGGAAGTCTTGCTCTGCGCAGCTCGACCCTTTCATAGCAATTCTTCGAGAGTTGTCGAACAGTGCTAAAGCAAAGATTAAAGTTAGAAGAGGAAGGCTGTTAACCTTTCGATGATCCCTCCAGGAAGGTACTCCATCACCGCGTCGAAGACGACATCGGGAAGTGCTTCAAGGAAGTTGACAGAAGAGGTTGGAATTCGCTAAAATAAAACTTACGTACGAAACATCCACTCAAAAGCAGTCACAAACCACAACATTTAAAAACAAATATAGCAAAACGTCTTACATTCTGTTGCTCCTTCTCCAAGCTTTCCATGATCAGCTCCTCGCTGGCTTCAGCCAATTCGAAAGCTCTCGGGTTCGTGTCGGCTGCTACGAGCAGGGCATTTCGGTCGGAGAGGAGCCCGATGGCCTTATCTTTTCCCTTCTCTGTGCCCTCTTGTAAAAGCTCCAGCGATTGATGGTTGAGTTCGACTAGAACAGCCTCGAATTGAGATGATCCTTGATCCTTTGGCATCGATTGGCCCTCCATCGTTGGATCTAAATAAAGAAATACAGCCGAGCCTTGAGTTAGGAAAATAGAGAAAATCGATCATATTTCTTGTTTCAAAAATGCTACTTGTCGGCTATGCATCCATACATGCATCATCTCGGATAAGTTGGGGGCCGGTGCGCCAAGCTCTCTGCACTTAGGCAGGTCCCGGAGGGGATCAGTGCTGCAAGCTCTCTAGGATTTGTTCTAACTCTCTAGGGGTGTGGATTAGAGTGTGCTCCTCGCGAGTGATGCGTTTTTTCAAATGCACACTTGCAAAATGACCCTAGGTTTGGCGCAAAAAGCTGGCCTGTTGCAACAAAAATGGCTCGAAAAAAGTCAAGCACCGACTTAAATACGATTCCTTTGAAAGGTATTCAGCCGTTTAAGGGATTTGGCCGGAAATTCTCTTCAAATGAAAGTGTCTTGCGTGCTTATTATTCTCTAATAACAAAAAAAAATCGACAAGATCAAAGTTGGAAACATTGACAAAGCAATAAAAAAGCAATATCACGGAATAAAAATGACTCGAAATATTAAAAAGGTTATAAAATACCTCGAGAAAATGACTTTGCACAAAAATACCTGCGAAAAAAATTGAGGAAGCTTGGCATGTTTTAAAATCTTGTCATCGTCACTAATCGATTCAACTGGGCTGCGTATCGGGCGGCAAACTTCTAAAAATGAGCGGATAGCCTTATTTAACAAAACTTGTTGAGCATTCTGACAATCTCATAGCATTAATTCTGCAATCACTTTATCAACCCACCTCTTTCCAATCGATCCAACTCTTGTGGCCATTCTTGTTTCGCAGTCATCGATTCAGTCGCTTTCGATTCGGCATATTGGCAAGATATCCAAAGTCATCACGCTAAAAATACAGTTAGCTGAAGAATTTTCAAATTACTAACCCGATCACTATGAACGTTTTGTGGATCACTATCGAATCCCTTTTCGATTAGTCACGCAATAATATTGTCATCGTGAAGATCAATCGTCTTCTCAACAGCCCCTTGCACAAATCTGACCTGGAAAAGAATCAGATAAAAAGAGATTAAATAGATTAAATAATTTACAAAAAAGGCTAACCCCACCTGATTCTGAAGAGTCGTCAATCGAATTTCGTGTCGTTTCGTCTCCCGTTGTATCCTTTCCTTATAGAAGCGTTCCCTTTCAACAAAATGATCGCGAAAAATCTCATCAGTGCTCAGATAATGATACAGTTTTTGTGATGGATTGAAAAGGACCTAAAGAAATAAAAATAGTACTTCCAACCCTTTTGAGCAGTTTATGAGTGTCCAATAACTAATAATAAGATGTTACCATTTTTCTGAAGTAAGATTATATTATACCTTGAAATGCCTACCATCTTCTCGAGTTCTTTCCCTACAATCCGACGACGAACATTGTCAATGATAGCATTTGGTCGATATGAGAGGACACTCGTTGACCAGCTAAACACACCAAGAGAATCATAAAAACCCATTAAATTTACCCTGTAGCTAGTCCATCGCATCCATTTAGAAGAACTGTCTGAATCAAAGGGCACAACCCAAGCACATAGGAACTTTACAGGAAAACTATAAAAATACCATTTCGGCTCTGCTTTTTGATTCTCTTCTTCCGTCAGCGTTCAACTCAGCTCATCCGCGACGGGGAAGAGTTTGTCACTCATTGGACTAAACTTAAAATATTAACCATACTACGAAACCGTACATGATCTACCTGATATTTCGCAGACGCTGCATCATCTCCACCTTCAGCTCGAGTTCCGAATTGTCCCACCGGAGGCAGCCAAGGCCCATTAGTCTCTTCTCATATAAATTCTATGAATAACCTTGACTGTCACCAAATATTGATAAAGTTCATCGTCGATGAATCCGGAAGAAGCGATACGCTGTCTCAACTCTTCTGACGGCGGATTTCGAAAACATTTGTCTCCTGAAACAACATTCACTCGAATCGTTCTCATCGATGGAGACCTTTGCTTAATGTCGGCCGCATTTACCAAAATCTTGTCAAAAAACTGAATAAATTTCGATGCATGTATACTTGAAGTCCCACCTTTTCTTCAGTGTCGTCCTTTACATTGATCAGACGCCCTCGTACCGACAACACCCCATAAAGCTCTCGGCCAACCACTTAAACATTTGAAAGTAGCTCGGCTTTTTAAAAAGCAAGTTACCTCTGATCCCGCCATTGCCAAAGCTTTAGCTGATACAAAACTCACATTCACACTAAAATTAGTAAATTAAGGATACGTATTACAAAACTCACAAAGTTCTTAAATCGTCTAAATCTTCATGCTCCTTTCTGCGTAGATCAAACGTATTCTGAAACCAATCGGCTGACCTTCTGGCAAATCTCCTTTGTTGCCACGTACATATTGGGGGGAGCGAGTACATATTCTCGTGGATTGTACTTCTTGTATTGGGCCGAAAGATGCAACGCCAATCCGGTTTTCGCTTTTGCTTTGTTGCATTCTTTGGCACTAAAAGTTTTTTTTTAGAAAACAGAAAAAAACAATAACCATAAACTAATTCTTGATGAAAAGATAAGTAACGAAGACTTCTTGAAGTTGAATAAAACTCGGAACCTTTAAAAGAATTTAAAAGACAAAACGATTAAACAGACCTGATTCATTGAGCTCGAATAAAGGTTTGGGTCGTACAAAGTTTGAGACCTCAACCCGTAGTAGCATAAGACTTAAAGTTTACATGTTTTATAGTGCCGTTAAGAGAATGTTTTTTTCTGAAATGCAATGGTGAAAATTTTTATTCATTTCATGCACCACACTGAATAGAGATCCCGTTCCTCACAAAATAATTATCAAAAGCATTTTATTTTCTGCCACAGCTAAAGCATAACACAACAGCATGCCATGTGATTGCGAGTTTGTAAAGAAGAACTTATTTAGGCGAGTAAACAATATCAAGGGCTTGAATCCATCGGTTTTCAGGTTCATTTAAAAGCACTTCGATCCTCGATTTGCCTTTAGTAAAGGAACGCTCGAGTAGGAGTCTGCTCTTCTTCATAGGAGTCTCGTTCTTGCAATGGTCCCAATTCTTCTGGGCATTTTTCCCTGCTAAAAATAGAAATTGTTTTTAATAGATACAATGATGATTTCTTCAAAGTAAATCGAAAACACTTACTACCTTCTATAATATGTTGATGAATCGATGGGTCCCATGTCACCATCTCCTTGGGGTCAGACTTAGGTCGTGATTTGTCTTCGGGGCGTTTATTGGCATCTGTCGCCAATTGATCGGCCTGAAGTTAACAAGATCAATTAAAGTAGATAGGAATTGAGCTATAAATAACATATCTAAAGCATTACCTTCTTAAGGCCCGGATCCTCGTCTTTTGTGTGACTCGTTACGTATTGAATAACGACCCCTTTCGGAAAATTGCCCGCCACATACTTCAAGTAGTTCAAGCTAAACAGAAAATATAGAGAAATACAAATGCAAGAGCAAACTTTCTCAGATCTTCAACGTCCAATTTATGAATTTTCTTATCGCGATAGGTAATAGGTTGATTGTTGAAATGCTTAATTGCCCACAAACAGTCTGTCCGAAGCATCACTTTTTCGCCCCTGAATGATCAATATATTTCCTTTTCACGCAAAATTACTGAGAATTATTATTATCATAAAAATGGATAGTGCTTACTTGTATTCAGGCCAACAGTAGAGCCGATGGAGCGCCACTCCCATAGCGACACATTCTGCTTTAAACGAGTCGTCGAGTTGACCGATTTGACATTTCCTAAATTTGAGTAAATTTACAAATTTTCATGGACTAATTTAAACAGTAGTCAATACGGTTCAATAATACCAAGACCAAAACTAATTTTTTGCTAGTTCGGTACTATAGTCATAGCAAAAAGACACTTACAATTCGAGCGGGTGCGATTCTCCAACATATATGCCGATTGCCGCCCTACCAGCCCGATCTATTCGCTCCTTCAATTCCTCTAGCTGTTTCGTTTTCTTCTTATCTTTCCCGATTTGCGATGTGTGAATGTCTTGCTTCCTTTCGTCAAGCTTCTTCCGTTGACTCGGATCGAGACGTGGATAATGGCTGCCATCAGAATAGATAACGATCGTTCCCGCTTCGAATAACTGATTTGCAATCTCGGGTTCAGTCGTAAAACCTGCAAAAAACAAATAAATGACTATTGTTTAGCAACTTTTGAACTTTTAGCACAAAACTTTAACATATCTAGCATTATATGAGTTTAGAACTGTCTCAACCAACAAAAACAAATGAAGCTACCGTAATTCTTCCAATTGTAAGGGTCTTCTTTTTCCCTCCATTGTTTCCAGCGTATTTGGACAGCCTAAAAACAATAAAATGAACCATTGAGAGAGCCAGAAATCAAATAGACCGTTAGACAAATAGAATGCCATGAATTTCGCTATTAATTAAAAAGTTACAGCTTTATCGAACTCCAATGCGTCCAATCCAGCTTCTAACCGATCCGAAGAGACCGTTTCTGCAGAGGGCTCTGAAAAACAATTCATAGAACTTAAAATCAAAGAAACCCCAAAGAAATAATAAACCATAAAGTTAAACCAAAGAAAGAGGGAACAAACCTCGATACCATTCTCTCAACCTAAGCCAAAATTTGTGGAGTAGCGAGCAAATCATCCTGAAAAAAAATATCGGGGTAGGCTAATTCCCGCAACAGGGTCATTTGAGCAACTGAGGCGTTTGCGCAACTCGCCATAACTTTCTTCTATGAAATTAAAATTGTAAAGATTGGTACACTTAGAAGAAAGTTATGGCGAGTTGCGCAAACGACTCAGTTGCTCAAATGACCCTGTTGCGCAAATAAAATGGCGGAAATTAGCCTACTTCAAGATATGAATGAATGAAATGCTTTGCTTTGGCAAGAAATGAAGCAAGGAATATGCAAATTTGGCAAATTTTTCGTATGCAAATTTCGGCTATTTTATCGATCTTGAGAATAAGTTTGTGCTTTTTTCTTATTGATCTTTAAGCGTTGACAATTTTATATCCCACTTCTAAAATTGGGTTATAGATAAAAATTCAACAATTTCTTTTTAGAAAAGCATCCGCGTCTCTTGAAGCCGACATTGAGAAACTCGATGGCCAAGTTGTGTATTCGATAAACAAAGAGTCATCACCAGTCTTGGTTAGAAAGCTTTGTGATAACAACGTTAATGGTGATTGGATAATGTTAAGTTTAGCCTGTCTCCGATCACTCGCTAGCTGAGAGGCCCGAAACGTTGCCGGATCTTCTAAAACAGCTCAATGAAGCGGTTAGCTGTATTTTTAGTCCCACTTCAAATTGAATTTTAGAAACTACGCTCGCTTCTTTTCGCAATTCATGGAAATTGAGCATTCGTGTTCGCTCGAAAAGCTCATTCGAGAAGATTTTGCATTCGGTGAAGTTTAGTTAAAATAATTTCATTTAACATGATGTTTCTAGATAAAATCTCGAACTCGGGTAGCGGTGAACAAGAAATTCGGTGATGGTGAAGAATAAGTAAACATTTGAAAAAAGCTTCATCATGATTTTAAAAGTTTTAGCAAGACGTAAAAGCTGGTCCTATTAAAAGGCCGTTTATGAGATCGATTTCGATACGCAGCCTGAGCCTGAGCCAAACACAAGTCAGCCGTCGCAAAAAAGTTTGTTTTTGCTCTTGAAACTTTTTTGACATGAAATTTTAATTTTAGTTTAAAGCAATGCACCATCAACCAGCATTTGAATAATTTCGAAATGACGATTTTCCGATTTTACTTTGAGAAAACAATCACAAAACTCTTCGTTGATAGACTTGTTTAACGAATATGGGACAACCGGTTTATTTAAAAGACGAAATTTCAATGCATACCTTTAGTTGGATTCATTCTCCAAGTGTTTGCATATGCATCTCCCTGAAGGCATCACCACATTTCGACAACATCCTGATCAGTAGCGATAAATGTTTTCTTTTAGTTTCTTGATTTTAGACGATGGGAAGTCGATTTTGCGCCTTCTTTCGACAAGAACTCTAAGCAAATCTCCTTTGTTAATAGTGTGAACACTACAAAAGTAAGTTGTGTTTGTTGGTTTTAAAATAATTGGGCGTATGAATGGTGGAATTATCAATCACCTATCAATCAATAATTTCAGGGTGGACAACACGTTGAGCACGTCATGTCACAAGTTGTAGAAGCTGTCTGGGACAGCATCTGGGAAGTGTAGGACAGCATGGCCCGACGCCGTCGTACAAAATGTTAATCGAGGTTTTAAGTCGAGTAACTACGAGTAATCTTATTTATCTGATACGGACCTGCCTAAGTGCAGAGAGCTTGGCGCACCGGCCCCCAACTTATCCAAGATGATGCATGTATGGATGCATAGCCGACAAGTAGCATTTTTGCAACAAGAAATATGATCGATTTTCTCTATTTTCCTAACTCAAGGCTCGGCTGTATTTCTTTATTTAGATCCAACGTTGGAGGGCCAATCGATGCAAAAGAATTAGTTTATGGTTATTGTTTTTTTCTGTTTTCTAAAAAAAAAATTTTAGTGCCAAAGAATGCAACAAAGCAAAAGCGAAAACCGGATTGGCGTTGCATCTTTCGGCCATCTTTCGAAATTTATTCAGTTTTTTGACAAGATTTTGGTAAATGCGGCCGACATTAAGCAAAGGTCTCCATCGATGAGAACGATTCGAGTGAATGTTGTTTCAGGAGACAAATGTTTTCGAAATCCGCCGTCAGAAGAGTTGAGACAGCGTATCGCTTCTTCCGGATTCATCGACGATGAACTTTATCAATATTTGGTGACAGTCAAGGTTATTCATAGAATTTATATGAGAAGAGACTAATGGGCCTTGGCTGCCTCCGGTGGGACAATTCGGAACTCGAGCTGAAGGTGGAGATGATGCAGCGTCTGCGAAATATCAGGTAGATCATGTACGGTTTCGTAGTATGGTTAATATTTTAAGTTTAGTCCAATGAGTGACAAACTCTTCCCCGTCGCGGATGAGCTGAGTTGAACGCTGACGGAAGAAGAGAATCAAAAAGCAGAGCCGAAATGGTATTTTTATAGTTTTCCTGTAAAGTTCCTATGTGCTTGGGTTGTGCCCTTTGATTCAGACAGTTCTTCTAAATGGATGCGATGGACTAGCTACAGGGTAAATTTAATGGGTTTTTATGATTCTCTTGGTGTGTTTAGCTGGTCAACGAGTGTCCTCTCATATCGACCAAATGCTATCATTGACAATGTTCGTCGTCGGATTGTAGGGAAAGAACTCGAGAAGATGGTAGGCATTTCAAGGTATAATATAATCTTACTTCAGAAAAATGGTAACATCTTATTATTAGTTATTGGACACTCATAAACTGCTCAAAAGGGTTGGAAGTACTATTTTTATTTCTTTAGGTCCTTTTCAATCCATCACAAAAACTGTATCATTATCTGAGCACTGATGAGATTTTTCGCGATCATTTTGTTGAAAGGGAACGCTTCTATAAGGAAAGGATACAACGGGAGACGAAACGACACGAAATTCGATTGACGACTCTTCAGAATCAGGTGGGGTTAGCCTTTTTGTAAATTATTTAATCTATTTAATCTCTTTTTATCTGATTCTTTTCCAGGTCAGATTTGTGCAAGGGGCTGTTGAGAAGACGATTGATCTTCACGATGACAATATTATTGCGTGACTAATCGAAAAGGGATTCGATAGTGATCCACAAAACGTTCATAGTGATCGGGTTAGTAATTTGAAAATTCTTCAGCTAACTGTATTTTTAGCGTGATGACTTTGGATATCTTGCCAATATGCCGAATCGAAAGCGACTGAATCGATGACTGCGAAACAAGAATGGCCACAAGAGTTGGATCGATTGGAAAGAGGTGGGTTGATAAAGTGATTGCAGAATTAATGCTATGAGATTGTCAGAATGCTCAACAAGTTTTGTTAAATAAGGCTATCCGCTCATTTTTAGAAGTTTGCCGCCCGATACGCAGCCCAGTTGAATCGATTAGTGACGATGACAAGATTTTAAAACATGCCAAGCTTCCTCAATTTTTTTCGCAGGTATTTTTGTGCAAAGTCATTTTCTCGAGGTATTTTATAACCTTTTTAATATTTCGAGTCATTTTTATTCCGTGATATTGCTTTTTTATTGCTTTGTCAATGTTTCCAACTTTGATCTTGTCGATTTTTTTTGTTATTAGAGAATAATAAGCACGCAAGACACGGCAAGGCTATACAAACTTAGTGAAAATGATATTAAGATTCGGTGTAAACAACAATTTTCCTAACTTCGTCCACGTCACAAAATGTCCAAGTTGGAAACCCAAAAAAGCTCCCGATATGCTTTTGGGTGGAATGAGAGAAAAGCGGGAAAGGATTTAAATCCAGTTTTCTAGTATCGGCTGTTTTCTGGGTTTGAATATCCTTTCATTTGAAGAGAATTTCCCGCCAAATCCCTTAAACGGCTGAATACCTTTCAAAGGAATCGTTTTTAAGTCGGTGCTTGACTTTTTTCGAGCCATTTTTGTTGCAACAGGCCAGCTTTTTGCGCCAAACCTAGGGTCATTTTGCAAGTGTGCATTTGAAAAAACGCATCACTCGCTAGGAGCACACTCTAATCCACACCCCTAGAGAGTTAGAACAAATCCTAGAGAGCTTGCAGCACTGATCCCCTCCGGGACCTGCCTAAGTGCAGAGAGCTTGGCCCACCGGCCCCCAACTTATCCGAGATGATGCATGCATGCATGCATAGCCGACAAGTAGCATTTTTGCAACGAGAAATATGATCTATTTTCTCTATTTTCCTAACTCAAGGCTCGGCTTTTTTTCTTTATTTAGATCCAACGATGGAGGGCCAATCGATGCTAAAGGATCAAGGGCCATCTCAATTCGAGGCTGTCCTAGTCGAACTCAACCATCAATCGCTGGAGCTTTTACAAGAGGGTACAGAGAAGAGAAAAGATAAGGCCATCGGGCTCCTCTCCGACCGAAATGCCCTGCTCGTAGCAGCCGACACGAACCCGAGAGCTTTCGAATTGGCTGAAGCCAGCGAGGAGCTGATCATGGAAAGCTTGGAGAAGGAGCAACAGAATGTAAGACGTTTTGCTATATTTGTTTTTAAATGTTGTGGTTTGTGACTGCTTTTGAGTGGATGTTTCGTACGTAAGTTTTATTTTAGCGAATTCCAACCTCTTCTGTCAACTTCCTTGAAGCACTTCCCGATGTCGTCTTCGACGCGGTGATGGAGTACCTTCCTGGAGGGATCATCGAAAGGTTAACAGCCTTCCTCTTCTAACTTTAATCTTTGCTTTAGCACTGTTCGACAACTCTCGAAGAATTGCTATGAAAGGGTCGAGCTGCGCAGAGCAAGACTTCCTCCTGTTCATATCGATCAGCTTTATTTTGAGGGAAACAAGGTAAGATTTTGTTGTGTTAGTTACAAGAACAGAGCTTTTAGTTTGGCCTCTATAGACGGCCTAGCGATGGGGAAAGAACTTATGACGATGACGAGTTTGACTATAGGGAAACGATCGATCCAGTCAACTTAATTGAGCATTTAGAGTATTTGAAAGATCGTATAAGCTGCAACAACCTCGCCTTGGTTAGTTTTCACGAATAACTTTATAGCGCTTAAAATTTCCCTTCTAGAATGACGTGAATTGGGACATGTTTGCAAATTGCAAGTTTGAATGTGAAGGATTGCATTGTGGGGTCTGGGAAACGACGCTTTCACCGGAAAGATTCATGGATATTTTCGGCAGTATAAGACCAACACGCCGGCTAGCAATTTTCGTAACTTTGTATTAAACGAATCAAAATTAGACTGATTAAGGCGTATGGCGACAACAAAAGTTTTCCGGTTCCGAGTGGCTTTTTCGCCAATAAATATGCGATTGGATTGCAAAAAGTTACTTTGTTGGCTGACGGGAATGCCATGGTTGATCCATTAACTGACCCGGTTTGTTTTTATTTAACTATCGATGAACCATTTTTGTTACGACGCTTACTGCACATTGTTCAGATCTTGTTGGGTTCAACTCTTTCGAAATTCTCCAGTCACTTTCCAACAAGCACCAGGTGCACTCTTGATGGGATCTTACCGATGATTCGAGAGTGGTACACTTCAGAGCGGCAAATTGATAAAATTTCCCTTTACGTAGTTGGCCGGGAAGTAGAACGTCAAAATGTGAGCTCTTTTGACTTTCTTATTTTGCTGAAAACTATTTGGATAAAGTTTTTGAAAAATCGGAAAGATCGACTTAAATATAATGGTCTAAATAGGCTAAATAACCATTGAAAAGCAGTTCAAAGCAATTGGATTTCGCGAGATAAATGCACAACTTTTAGTTCTATCACAATTTACCTCAATTGCAACATGTAAATTTGCTTTGCAAGTGGGGTGACATCATTTCTGCCCTCGCTTTGAAAAGAGCAAATGGGGATATCGTTGGGCTTACTGTTAGCATCGATAAAGAGCAAGAGACGTTTAGGTATGTTTTAGCATCTTTTTTTATAGCGGTTGAACCGCGTGCAATGAGACTCTCTATTGCAAAATTGGTTTAGCTGGTTCTCCATTACTCGACTAGTGCCGGGCCCGAGAGCTGACTTATATATGGCGTATGACCACGCAGAATAATGCACAATATTTATTCCGTATTTTGGTTTAAAGGCTATTTTTTGTTCTCTATGATGTGATGTGTTTTATCATGATGAAAACTGAAATTTCTATGTGCCATTTTGTCCATTGTGATTTTGTCTAATGTCTCGATAAAGAATGACGACCTGTGTTTGCAATTAGAGCCAGTAAACAATGTAGAATCAGGTTTTCGATTCCAAAGCCTCTACCCGGTTTTTAGGTCTGGCGAGGCATCCGCGTGTGTTTTTCTGCTATACCTTTGTGTCAAAGTTGAGCAATGATTGAATTGAACTATAGGATCAAATTGAAAGCTGAAAGTCGAAATCTATCCAAACTTGCTTACAATATTATTCATGCTATACATCGATTCTCGCGATTCCGTCATTTTCCCATTTAGAACCACACCTAGAGGTCTGGAACAATAGAATCGATCTATAGAATTGATCCGGAAATCGAGAACCGATAGAGAAGATTGAAGCGAAAAAAGGAAAAATGAATAAAAATGAATAAAAATCGATAAAAGTGGTTAAAAACTAGCTAAAAACGATATCAATCGTTAAAAGTGATCAAAAAATGGATGATAATGGATGAAAATAGTCAAAAAATGGATAACAATTGATGAGAATGGCTTCAAAATGGGTAAGAATCGTTAAGAAATGTTCAAAAATGTCAAAGAAAATAAATAATTACCCATAAAAATCAATAAAAATCACTCAAAAACGTGAAAAATGGTGAAGAAATGGATAAAAATGGCCAAAAATAGCTGAAAATCGACAATAATTGTCAAAAATGATCAAAAAAACAGATAAAAATCAATGAAAGGGAATTAAAATCGATAAGAATGGTCAACAGATGCATAAAAATCCATCAAAATGGTCAAAAAATCGATAAAAATTTCCTATGATTTCCTATGATTTCCGATGATTTCCTATCCTTTCCTATCATTTTCTATTATTTTCTATCATTTCCTATCATTTTCTATCATATCCTATCATTTTGAGATCTGAAAGATATGTTTATGTTTCATTCTTATTCAACCTTTGTATCTTAATCCTGTAAAAATTGTTTGCAAACCATTTACCGAAAGTGCACAATCATTTGTCAGACATTACACTCGTTTCCTTCTCTAAAGTGTTTCGTTTCTTTTTTATCGTTTCCTCTAAAGTGATGTCCGTTCTCACTGTCGATCCGACACATCTGAAAGTGTTCACCCATCAAAGAAACGATCGACTTTTTGAGAGAAAAGAAAAAAACATTGACAGCTCGTTTTGGTGGTTCATTTTTCAAACGAATGAAGTTTGTTCGAGTTGGATTTTCATTCAATAGTAGTTTACAAATGGATTTATTAAAAAAATATGAAAGGGCTTGTGATATTTTGATAGCATAAGACCGCACTAAGCCTCAGCCTGAGCCTGAACCTGAGTCTAAGCCCGCTAAAGCCTAGCCTAGTCTAAGTTCGAGCCTAGCCTAAGTCTCAGCCTAAGCCAACCTAAGCCAGCTTAAGCCAAGGTCTAAGTCTAGCCTAGCCTAAGTTCCATTTGTCAACCATCAAGAGTTGAAGTCCAGGAATGAGCACACCCAATTCCAAATTGCCGACAACAGTCGATGCTGAAAAAGATTTGGCGTAAAAATTCGAATATAGAGTTTTACAGTTTTCAAAACTTTCTAAAAATTGTCAAGTGTTTAAAACTGCAGCAATGACAATTTGTGGATCCATAAGCAATCGACAAAGTGATGTGCTATCGCTGACATGCTCTTGGAATTGGAGTTTTGGTGGAAGAACCAAGAGTTGGAGTCCTGAAGAAAACTGAGCAATTTTTTGACTAATTGTAAGCCAATTTGAGTAAGCGAACCTGCTCCAATCACTCCCAATCCAGCCAAAATCAAAAAGGAAAGTTCTTTCCCATGGAAAATATCGTACATTGCACCACCGTATGGAGGGCCGACGAGTAAGCCTGCAAAGTTGAGAACAGAGATTGATAATGTTTCTTGAATGTACAGGCCCATAACTATAGGTGCAGTGGCTTATTTTCTATTATTATTAACTATCACAATCTCCTCAAAGCTGAAATTTTGCACTGGACACAAAAGCATTTCAAAAATCAAATTTCGACATTCCAAGAAGACGGAGCTCCAGTTCACAAAGCCAAGAAAGTCCAAAATTTTTGCAAAGTTTTGCAAAGTGCAAGTTTCCTGATTTGATCTCTTTTTCTGAAGCTCGCCAAATCTCCATTCAATGGATTATTCTGTCTGGTCCGTCCTTGAGGTCAAAGTTTGCTCAAAATGTTGAAAGTTTAAAGAAAAGTCTTCTTAAATCTTGAGATGAACTTCTCATTTTTTGTTTTTTCATGGTTTAAAATTAAGATTTTTGGTTTAGATTATGAAGTTAGGGTAATGATGGCTTTACAAAAACGTTTCTAAACTAATCTAGTTGTTAGGCTGTCCAGAAAGTCTTTTCGTTCCTTTTCGTACTTCCGTTTAAAACCAAAAAATTCACCAATTGAACTACGGTTTGTTTCATTAAAAAAAATCAATTATTTTTCTGCAAAATAACATTAAAATGAGTTTAAAATGTCTTATATCTGGATTTCTTTGGATCAAAGAAGACTTTAAGACTTTAAGAGAAATGAGAAGTTCATCTCAAGCTTTAAGAAGACTTTTCTTTAAACTTTCAACATTTTGAGCAAACTTTGACCTCAAGGACGGACCAGACAGAATAATCCATTGGAAGGAGACCCGGCGAGCTTCAGAAAAAGAGATCAAATCAGGAAACTTGACTTTGCAAAAATTTTGGACTTTCTTGGCTTTGTGAACTGGAGCTCAAAGAAATCAAAAAAGCTCAATTTAAAAAGTAGACTTTTTTGAGTTTTCCATTTTCTCCCTGACATCGCATAAGAAAGAGGCTTTCTTGAAAACTAAAGCTTCGGTTAAAATTTGGTTCCATTAGAAATTTTTGTTCATTTTTACGTTAATATTTGTTTTTAAATTTAGTTCAATTTCTAAAATTTTACCACAAAAAGTTTATTTGAAGGCAAACACTCAAAAAGTGACTTGAGACACTAGAATCGGTGAAATCTTCAAAATGATACCAGAAGCTGGTTCTGATTTTTTGGCAATAAATTCTCATAGTTTATTCAATTTTTGAGTAAAAAACTTCAGAAGAATCGATGGTTTGGTTCTTAAGAAATTTTTAGTTATTTAAAATCAAAAATCGAGGGTGGTCCTATCATTTTGCAACGTACTGTATAAACTGAGTTCTGAACGAGCAAACATGAGCTTGCCGTTTTTATTGATAATATCGATAAGCAAGTCTAGTGAACGCTATAATAGATGAGTGAGATCGGTTTTTGTCCAAACCTTTAAACGATAAGACATATTGAGCCATTTTGTGACAAAGATCACAATCGTCAGCAATTGTAAGCTATGAGTTTAATATAGAAAATTTCATTTCATCGAAGAACAAACCTGGATAGTAACCACTAACCTGGATAGTAACCGCTTTTGTTCATAAAGATTAATGATTAAAACAAAAATCCAATCAAATATATCAAAACCTATCGATGTGGGGTTGGAAAATGTAGCTGACGATGAGATCTTGTGGGGGATTAGAGTGTTGAGCTTCTGAAAAAACTTGGAAACTGTAAAATAGTCATGAACTTGGCTCAGCAAGGTGCACTACTACAGTGCGTTTCAAATTCTTAAACGCACCCTCTAAAATAGCGGATTTTGCATTTTGACCACCGCTACCACTATTAATCTTTTTCTATTAGAAAGAGCATGTCTTAAAACCTAAATAACACGAAAAAGAAGCATACTGTAAAAGGCTCAGCGAGGTGCACTACTATTAGGGAAAATACGATAACCGGATACAGCTCAAAGGAGGGTCCGAATTAGGGCGGACCCTCACTAAAGTTGTCGACAGATAGGTGAGTAATAATTTTTGATGGTTTTCTGTCGAAATGATTGAAGGAAATCGGTTTATCAATAATTTATCAAGCATTAATAGATGACCTTGAGTGCAGCTAGTTTTGCTTGCAGGGAAGTAGCGAAAATCTGGCCTAAATCAGGGTAAAAGTTGATTAGAAAAATTTGAGCATAGTGGCACCCGGAAAGCGGACAAACTCATTCGCTTACTTACAAAAAAAGAAGATATTCAGCTGTAAATTTTCGAGAGTTTTCGAGGTTAAACGATTGGCGAAGCAATGAAAGAGTTTACTAACAATTCTAACTTCAACAACTTCATTCTAACAACTTCTAACAATTTCTTGATCTTCTTGTCGATAAACACTTTAGAAATCTTCGGCTGCAGTTCAAAAACGATTGGCGTTATTCATTTTAATGAGTCTACTAATTGGAACTGGAGTTTAATTGGTCTAAACTTTTAGACATATCTTGGAGCAGAGATTTGCAGCTTTCAAATGACATATAATAAGTATGGGTCCAAGAAAACATTTCTATTTTGTCTGTCGATAGTTTTAGTAAGAATCGGTCTTAGATTTTGACCTCTCCTTTAAAAAACAAAATAGATGAATCACTAAAATTCAGGTAAAAGCTCTGCACCAATTAATCAGCTATTTGCGAACGAAATGGCATGTGGAACCACAAAATATTATTGGTAAGTTGAAAAATAGTTGAAGAGACAAGTGTTTTCAGCTCATCACGAAAATTCGCCATGGCAAAAGTACGATATTTCGGGCTATTTTTCATGGAAATCACTCTACGATGAATTCAAGGAGAATGTGGGACTTTGGAAGAGTAATCTCACAGCAGCTCAACAAAAAGAAGTTGTTCTATCGGATAAAATAAAGGTTTGCCTAGGTTGAAAGTTAAATTTTCAAATTTTTCCTTTAGAATGCCACTCTCTTGAAAGAAGTGCAACAGAAGCTTTACGAGTAAGTTGGGTTATTCAAAAGTAATGAAAGAGTTTAGTTCTAACAATTTCTTGATCTTATTATCGAGAAACACATTACAAATCTTCGGCTTCATTTCAACTTTTTATTTTTAGGTACGGTCATGGATACATTGTTGTTGGAGATCCGTACAGCACCTCAGCCACCAGCAAAGTCACCACCGCTCTCGCTATTCAGGCGTTCAACCGAAAGTTTTGTCCAGAGGTTTGTCAAGTTTATTTTTTAAAGTTTTTGAATTGATTCACAAGTGTTATAAGTTTTTGAATTGATTCCTAAAAATGCCTTTTAACACATACGCGACGAGATAGCTCACCGGTGAGCGCATGCGCTTCTATTAGAGTATTTACGGTATTTTTAGATTTAGGCTTAGATTCACATTTGCATTTACAATTTACAAATTACAACAAAAGCTGTCGTCTGAAACGGCAGCCAAGCCAAAAATGACTTTGTCGGGAATTTGTTAAAAACTAGACCTGGTTTTCGAATCGAATCAGCCCAATTCGATTCGATTCGAAAAATTTGGTCGATCGATTCGATAGATCGATGGATTCGAAGTTTTTACATTTTCAGTCTGGACCTAACCGATTCGATTCGGAAAAAAGCTAGACCGAAAACCAGCTCTATTACAAACTACAATATACTGACTGTTTTTTAATTTAAAGAAATGGATAGTCATTGAGCTTTAATCACGATCAGTAACATTTTGAGATCCACTATTTCATCAATTAAAAATCAAAAAATAAACCATCAAGGGTTACTTTTAGGTATTCATTCTCGAATCGGTAAAAAACGGAAACGAGGTGACACATGCTGAGAATCTTCAGGTGAGCAAGGGAATAAAGTTATGAGCGAATTTTTCTAGTAAAAAATAAGGCCCTGCCAAAGGCGATGGAATACGTGTAGCTCATTGGTAGAGCGTTCGCCCTGTAAGCGAGAGGTGACGGGTTCGAATCCTGAAGCTAACCATGTATTCCGCAACCCATAAAAGGACCGGCTTATCTAGCTGTTTCCTGTTTTAGTGCATAAAAGGCTCTGGCTTGGCCCAATTCTTGAACAGGACTGTTTCAAAGACAATTTTTTCGGGCCAGGGCCTGAGCCTCGACCTCTGGTCTGTCCTTTCCTTGCCTGTTCTATTGGATTGGTGAATTGAAAACTGCGGGACTTTGAACTAAAATTTATTCAACATAAAACCATGAATTCATTCCAAATAATTTCCATTATTATTGACGACTTCTGCCCATTTTACGGGCAATTTGCGGATTCCTCTTTCGTAGTAGGATTTTGGTTTGTGTGTGAGACAAGTGTGAGACTCAAAAATGGAGGACTGGAGATGTCCCAGTTTGAGCACTTTCTTCAAAAGAAACCCATTTTGGTGTCAATAGAAAAGTTGTAGAGAATCAAAAATTAGGCTTATATCCAAATTTCCAAAAAGATACACTTAGTAGTTTCGCTTCAAATGCAAGTTTTGTGAAAATTCGTAAATTTGGCATTTCTTGAAAAGCAGTTTTTAAATCGTTCTGAAAATTTGGATATAAGCCTAATTTTTGATTCTCTACAACTTTTCCATTGACACCAAAATGGGTTTCTTTTGAAGAAAGTGCTCAAACTGTGACATATGACAATAGCCGGCAGTTTTCAATTCACCAACTCAATAGATTGCTTTCTCATTTCAACACAAAATTTATCGCGTAAAACAATACTTTCAATTAATCTGACAAACAAATGATTTAAAAACGAAAAAGAAACGACGACGCGGCGCTCCCATCGACTACCTCCAAACGGCGGCGATGTCAATTGGAATGCGACGTTGCGCGAAAATTAACGTTTAAAATTTGCTATTAAGTTTATATTTTTGGAAATTTGGATATAAGCTTAATTTTTGATTCTCTACAACTTTTCTATTGACACTAAAATTGGTTTCTTTTGAAGAAAGTGCTCAAACTGTGACACATGACAATAGCCGGCAGTTTTCAATTCACCAACCCAATATTTTACGGTTTTAACAACCCTGGTATAGATGAGTGATAGCTTTGAATCTATTTCATCAAAGGCTGCACATTTTCACATTTTACAGACTTTTTATCTGAATACTCTCCTTTTCAGACCTACAAGCTCACCGTGGAGCGCCTCAACTGGTTGCACGCACACACGAAGCTTCCCAATTGCACAAACTATTAAAAAAATGGCTTGGGATTTATGAAATGAATAGATTTGAGTAAAAAAGTTGTATGAATACAAAATAAAACTAAAACTTCACAGATTTTTCAGTTTCAAACCCGTTTGGCAAAAACATTTAGTTAAAAAGCTTATTTCTTTTTACTGAACTCATCCAGTTTGATAAAAACTGGGTGAGATTTTATTTGTCCTCATTGTTTCTTATCAAACTTTTTTTTGCCTCTGTCTGTTGAAAAAAGAATCAAGAAAAAAGAATCAAGAAAATACGGAAGTCCCGTCAAAAAGTCCTTTTCTCATCGATTTTCAAATTATAAGTTGATAAGGGCAGACTAGCCTTTATTTTTGAAATATTACTGGTTTTTAACTTTAAAATGGAAATCAGCACGTCAATTCGCAAGAAATTGCTATTAGCTATCGTCTACATTGCTCTGTTGCTCGATTATTCATTGCTGACTTCTGTTGGTGAGTTTTGGACAGTTGAAAGAGATCTTAGACAGCTTTGAGCATCAAATGAAAGAGCAATTTATAAAGTTTAAAGCTGATCATTGAGAACTAACTATAAGTATTGGGTTGGGGACTATGACTCAGCGGCTAGTTTCCATATGTGCATAGTTCTCACACTTTCTTCCAAAGCAAACCATTTTGGTGTGAATGGAAAGTTGTAGAGAATCAAAAATGAAGCTTATATCCAAATTTTCAGAACGATTCAAAAACTGGTTTTCAAGAAATGCGAAATTTACGAATTTTCACAAAGCTTGCATTTTAAGCGAAACTACTAAGTGTATCTTTTTGGAAATTTGGATATAAGCCTAATTTTTGATTCTCTACAACTTTTCTATTGACACCAAAATGGGTTTCTTTTGAAGAAAGTGCTCAAACTGGGACACCTCCAGTCCTCCATTTTTGAGTCTCACACTTGTCTCACACACAAACCAAAATCCTACTACGAAAGAGGAATCCGCAAATTGCCTGTAAAATGGGCAGAAGTCGTCAATAATAATGGAAATTATTTGGAATGAATTCATGGTTTTATGTTGAATAAATTTGCCTTTCTTTTGTCCGTCATAGTCCCCAACCCAATAGTAATTCAGTGAATAAACACCGTCCAATCTTTCACCAAAGCACTTTTGAAAGATGAATGTAATAACGAAATGTCAGCAATTCCCCTATTAAGCCTAAAAAGATCTTTGTTCGTTAAAAATTCTTCTGATTGACTTTAAAGATATTCCTTTTCGTAATTCCTTTTGAAAAATAACAAATTCATCAATTAACCTATGATTTGCTTGAATAAAAAGTGTTTATTGTTCAATTTTTCATCGTCTTAAGTCAATTTCGGTTCAATCAATGTCAAGCAATGAAAAACGTGTTTTTCGTCAAAAATTATAAGAACCTCTACAAAGAAGTTGGCTGAATGAATTTCTCTGAAAATTCGACTATTTATCTAACTTTTTATGCTCTATCTTTCATCTATTGACACCAAAATAGGTTTCCTTAGCTAAAGTGTCTAAACCCCATCATCGAGCCGCATTTTCGACTACCCGACTTCACGCTCCTAAAAAAGCCAGACATAAGACACTTTAAACCCATTTTAAACCCATTTTAATGTTATTTTGCAGAAAAATAATTGTTTTTTTAAGGAAACAAACCGTAGTTCAATTGGTGCCCTTTTTTTGATTTTAAACGGAAATACGAAGAGGAACGAAAAGACTTATGCATCAACCTAATATGCTAAAAGATGAGAAAGAAGTTGAGCCTCATGGATATCGTCCAGTTGTCTTCTTTGTTTAATTGTTGGTTTTAAACGGAAGTACGAAAAGGGACGAAAAGACTTTCCGCCTAATAAAAGAACTGGTTTTTTAAAGAATCCGATTTTGTATTAAAGTCAAGGTCAAGGTCAAGGTCAAGGTTTAGGTTTCTTTAGCTAAAGTCTCTAAACCGCATTATCCCGCCGATGACTACTGACTTTTTAACTATCCGACTTCACGCTCGCAAAGAAATCCAGACATAAGACATTTTAAACCTGTTTTAATGTTATTTTCTAAAAAATAAATGATTTTTTAATGAAACAAACCGTAGTTCAATTGGTGAATTTTTTGGTTTTAAACGGAAGTACGAAAAGGAATGAAAAGACTTTCTGGACAGCCTAACAACTAGATTAGTTTAGAAACGCTTTTGTAAAGCCAGCATTACCCTAACTTCATAATCTGCACCAAAAATCTTCATTTTAAGCCATGAGAAACAAAAAATGAGAAGTAAACTTACCATTAGACAAGTTTTGAAGATTAACTTCATAGAATTAATCTGGCTCTGAGCCTTGAGCTCTGAACCCACTTGAACTTTAAACTTTGAATAATCTTCAACCTAAAATAGTAGACTTCATTCTTGAGTGACAATATTTGAAACCCAAATCTTATGCAGATAATTGTACCTGTGTAAATGAGCTATTAAGTTTACAGAGCCAATCTTGCCGAGCTTTTTCCTACAAATCGACAGTTCTAACACCACTTTAGTGCCTGTAAGTTTGATTTCTCATTGATTTTTAGCCAACTTTTCTTTAGACAGATCAGCCACAAGCCAGACAGGCACAAATTGAGAGTGAAAACATGAGGCTTGGGTTTTTAGTGGGCGCAAAATGTTTAGTGCAAGTCGTCACTCAACCATTTATCGGACCAGCAACAACAAGGTGAGTTATGATAATATAAATTCATTCGAATTCTTTTAGAATTGGTTTCTCGATTCCATTATTCTTTGGGTTTGTCGTGATGATTTTGTCTACAATTTTGTTTGCTTTCGGACAAAGTTATGGGATTCTTTTCGCGGCGAGGGCCGTTCAAGGGATTGGCTCGGCCTGCGCGGCGACTGCTGGTAAGCTTTCCAAGAAACCTAAGCAATATGGTGAATCAAATACACGTTAATGTGTAAACATTAATCCAATCCTGACAAAATCACAAAAGCCTTACTACTAGTACTTCTTTCATCAAACGTTGTACACTAGATTGTTAGATAATTTGGAAGACTCTTAATTATGAAATCAGTCTGACAATGGCAATGCTTTGATGCATTTATTGAAAGAACTTTTTTGAAAACGTTTAATAATGAAACAAGTCTTACAAGTCTAACATCACTCTTCCATTTAACAATCTAAAACCAGTGTGACAATGCTAACGCAATGATTATGCGTTGAAAGTAAAGCTAGGATGACACAGAAGACTCCTAATAATGAAAACCGTCTGCCAATGAGGCAATGACATCTGTATTTAGTTTGTCAAATCAAAAGACTCAAAACAATACGAGCTTTCAGGCATGGGAATGCTAGCTCAACAATATTCTGATGACAAGGAACGATCCCGTTATATGGGAATAGCGATGGGTGGAATGGCGTTAGGTAAAAAGCACAAAAACCTAACAAAATTTTACCCACTCTACATTCAAGAGGCATTATCCAATTTGTTTTCAAACTTTACACTGAAAGATATTCAGCTAAAAGTTTTCTCAAGGTGGTCCATAATTTTAGGCGCAGATAAAAAGCTTTGTAGGTAGACAAAATGAAACTTTGAAGAGTAAACTTTTATTTTAAAATCCTTATTTGATACTATTAAATTCAAAGCGATCACCATTTTTAGCCGAGCACATTGTCTAAAACAATCTAAAACCAGTGTGACAATGATAACGCAATGATTGTGTGTTGAATTTTTAGGCACATTGTTTAGGAAAGGCGTTCACGGTCAGTAAGCATCATCAAGTTCATCTCAAGCTTTAAGAAGACTTTTCTTTAAACTTTCAACATTTTGAGCAAACTTTGACCTCAAGGACGGACCAGACAGAATAATCCATTGAATGGAGATCCGGCGAGCTTCAGAAAAAGAGATGAAAGCAGGAAACTTCACTTTGTGAGCTGGAGCTCCGTCTTCTTGGAATGTCGAAATTTGATTTTTGAAATGCTTTTGTGTCCAGTGCAAAATTTCAGCTTTTAGGAGATTGTGATAGTTAATAATAATAGAAAATAAGCCACTGCACCTATAGTTATCGGTCTGTACATTCAAGAAACATTATCAACCTCTGTTCTCAACTTTACAGGCTTACTCGTCGGTCCTCCATACGGTGGTGCAATGTACGATATTTTCCATGGGAAAGAAGCTTGCTTTTTGATTTTGGCTGGATTGGGAGTGATTGGAGCAGGTTCGCTTACTCAAATTAGCTTACAATTAGTCAAAAAAATCGCTCAATTTTCTTCAGGACTCCAACTCTTGGTTCTTCCACCAAAACTTCAATTCCAAGAGCAAGTCAGCGATAGCACATCACTTCGTCGATTGCTTATGGATCCACGAATTGTCATTGCTGCAGGTTTAAACACTTGGCAATTTTTAGAAAGTTTTGAAAACTGTAAAACTCTATATTCGAATTTTTACGCCAATTCTTTTTCAGCATCGATTGTTGTCGGCAATTTGGGATTGGGTGTGCTCATTCCTGGACTTCAACTCTTGATGGTTGACAAATGGAACTCGACTGCTTTTCAACTAGGTTCACTTTGAAGTTTTTTATTTCGATCACCAACAATTTTAGGCATAATCTTCTTCCCGTGCTCGTTGGCCTATTTGATCGGGACGACTTTCGTCCCAGCGTTGGCGCTAAAATTTGGACGGTGAGACTTGAAAAAGCAAATCTAATCGTATTACCAATTGATTTCATAAGCTAAACCTAGATCAAAGGTAATAATATGGCCAAGATTGGGTTAGAAATTGAAATTTTGGTTTATACAAGCTTGAGCCTGACCCTGATTAGGCCTGGCTCAATTCGTGCTCAAGGACGAATTGTGACTCACTTGTATCTTATAAACTTATAAGCAAAATCAAATATAAAAATCTACAACTTAATCTACGCGTTCTTGACCTACGGTAACTCCTTTGGTGCTTTTTTTGATGCTACCGCGATACATTTTCCTCGGAGTGGATCCAGCAATACTCCAGTCTCACACGCGTAGATTAATGGTACTTTCCGGTTGTGTACCTCCAAAATTTGTATTTTAAAAAAGCTTGTCGAAAACACCTACCGTAAATACTGTAATAGTACCCCACCCCCATAATGACGGTGCGGAGCGTTGCGTAGTCTAGCTTTGAACTAGTTTTTCTCGACACTGGTTTATGCTACAATGCGCGCTTAGGTATCAAAAAATAGCTGAAATTCAGGGCTATTTTTTGATACCAAAGACGCATTTTTTGAAAGTACGGTTGCTTTGCAAAAAAATGAAATACTAAAAAACTTTTGTGACTACCCGACTGTACGAGGGGGGCGGGGTACTATTACAGTATTTACGGTATGAATCAATCTGGTTATGTCCTACCAAAATTTATATATATGTCGTAAACGATTATGAATTCCAGCCAATTATAAATCAACTGATTTCGCTAGCGAAAATCATAATCGGCTAGCCAATTATGAATTATTCATAGCCGCCTAGCCAATTATGAGCGAAAGTAGCCTTTTCTAGAAATTTGTCTTCAAAAACGGCAAGCCAATGCAAATTAGTATGTTGATATTGAATTATTTAGCCCTGTGTTTAGCATTTTCTACTATATAGTCAAAACCGAACTCTTGTGAAAGTGGGGTTTTCAAAAAGTGCCCTTTTTTGGTCACTCGCATTTCGCCCTCGAAATTTCTTCAATGGTTTGATCAATTGAAGCACGTTTTAGCCTATTTTGTAGAGGAGATTTACAACTTTCAGATAATTTATAACACTCATCGATATCAGGTTTCTATCGTTGGAAACTTTGAAAATGTTGAAATCCGCATTTCTTATGCATGTACCTAATCTATCTTTATTTTTATTCATGTAAGCATAAAAAAAGTGACAACAAAACATTTTTAATTGGCAAAATGACACACAATATTGAACACAAGAAGAGAAGAATTGTAGAGACTGAAAAATAAATTAATTCTATTCAAATTTAGAGTCAAATTTAAATTTGAACTGGTTTTATATCTAGCTTGATTGTGGCAGCTAAATGAGTCAAAGCTTGATTGTAGCTTGATTGTAGCAGCTTGTTAAATGAGTCAAAAAAGTTTCCGCACCTCAAATTGCAGCTGGCGTTGTGTTCTCATCGCTCTTCCAACGATCTCAATTTGTTTGGTCTCGATTTCATTAGCGCCCGCAATGTATTGGCTTTATTTACCAATCACGATCATTGGAATGTGCATTTGTAAGTAAAATTAGTCTTTGATAAAGTTTAGAGTTGAAAACTCGAAACAAATTTCAGCATTTATCGACTCAGCCATGATCCCACTGCTCGGACAAATGGCTTATCTGAAGCACAAGGCGGAAGAACGTGGGTTTAACATTTTCAGTATTGCCTAATTAAGGAAAGAATAGTAGTAGCCTAATTAATAGCTAACAATAGGCTTGCCAATTTTAGCTTGCAGACGCATTTTTAGGATTGACAGAGATTGGGCATTTCACAGAAGCTTCACCACTTTTGAGTGCAAGAAAAGAAAGTGAAGTCGATAGTGAGGATTCGCAAATCTCATCAACTTATGCAGGTTAAGCTTACTGATTATGATCTTGTAACAATAAGATCTCAAGTAATTCTTAACAAATCGTTTAGCAAATGCTTATGCGATCAGTGATGCTGGTTTGAGTATCGCCTACTGGGTGGCACCGATGGCGTCTGGTCCGTTGGTTCAATGGATTGGGTTTAAGTGGTTTGTTTCGAAAAACCTCAAACTTACTAATGAAAATGGAGAAATTTTAAATGCAATTAGTTATTAATTAAGTATTATTATTATTATTATTATTATTATTAGGTTGTCTTTTATGAATGCGCGTTTTTACTATTTTGCAAATTTCTCAAGATATCGAACAGATGTATATGAGTGTTATATATCATTCGAAAGCTGAAGATCTCCTCTACATTTTGGAATAAAAAAGTTTTTGAATTCATTCAACTTTTTGGGAAATTGACTGCACAAAGGGAGAGGTCGTTTTCGAAAAAACCCAGCTTAGCTATTCCTCAAGTTTTATGGTGTAAAATAACTGCACAGAAAAGAAAAGTAAAGTAAAGATGCTCTGAAATTGTTATATTTTTTAAAAAGTTGTATTGATATATCTATTGGCCAAACATCAAACGGTTAACTCAATTTGAGCGAAGCCAAAACTTGATCCAAAGGCACCCTTCCATTTTTTCGCCACCTCTTCTTCTGTGCAGTCAATTTGCCCAAAAGCTGAACAAATTCAAAAACTTTTTATATCAAAATGTAGAGGAGATCTCCAGCTTTCGAATAATACTCATACATATGTTTTTCTTGGTTTCGGTATCTTGAGAAATTTACAAAATAGTAAAAAACGCGCATTCATAACTGGACAACCCAATATTATCCAAATTCCAGGATGACTTGGGCATTCGCTATTGGAATCGTCTGTTTCGCTCCGTTGGCGATTTTCTTGCGAAATCCAACCGGTTCATCGAGAATTCGAGGAGATTGTTAGTCTAGTTTAGCTTTAGATTTAGAATAGTCATTTAGCTATTTTACCCAATCGTCATTGAAGTCTCAACACCGAAAAAATAAATGTAAAGTCTTTCAAATAGGCTTTTACCAATTATCGAATGTGTCTAATAAATTGATAAATAAACTTTACAGAGCTTCATGACAAATACAGAAGCGTTTAATGGATAATTCTCATTTTTATTTCATTTCATTCATTTATGGTCAAAAAGCTCGTTTTCCTCAATTTTCGAATCAAATTTTCTGGGTTTGGTTTATGAAGTAATGTCAACATTTATTATGCTCAATAAACATGGAAAGCAAAAGAAAATGAATAAAACAAGCTTTTTGACATAGACATAAGGGTATCAGTTTGTCAGATTGTACGATGCTCGAAGTCGGCAACCCTAAACGTTTTGGTTTGATTGTAGACATGGTTTCGGATCGCGTCGGATCGGTTCTGATCCAAGTTTTCATTTTTCGAATCGGATTGGATTGGATCGTATTGGATCGAATCGGATCGAATCCAAAAAATGATCCAAATCACCAAATGCTCTGCAATATGTGTACCTTTAGGAAAAATCGTTTAGGGTTAAGTTTGTTGTACGTTTTACTCATCAATTTGTTTGGTTTTTAGCAATCCACCTAATACTTGGATTACTCAGATCCGATCGCGATTCTAGCCAATTTTATTCGATCCTATCCGATCCAATTTTATTCGATCCTATCGGAGCCGATCCGAAACCATGTCTAGTTGATTGTGTAACTCACCAGAATGATCTCCACCAAAAGCACACCAATTGAGCAGCCGATAAAGATGAAACAGAGACGAAAAAGTGGCCACAAATAGATTAGGCCACGATTGTTGAACTCACTTGATGAGTGAACAGGACGTGCATAAGGTGCATATGGATGTGTATATCTAAAAACACATTAGTAAACTAAAGAAATTAGACAACTGTCAATTGCACTTTTTATTGTGGGTTTAGATATTTGAACAATTTTTTGATCTATTAGTAAAGCGAATAAAAATTGTGTACTTGAGTACCTGGCAGCAAAATTTGCATAAGATCCTTGGATTGTTTCGAGGCCTCTATTGAGTTTTTCAAGGACATTTCTTGAGAGATTTCTAAAAATTTCAGTTTCATTTTCACTTTCCAACAGAACAAATCAAAAACTTGTTCAATGCAAAAGCGAGGTGGCTTGGTTGAAGGGATAAATCCTTTATGAAGAGCACTTTATTGACTCTGTCCATTGCGACAACGTCGGTGGGAACGAATTTCTCATTCATCCCGGCAAATGTCACCGTTTTTGGAGGCATTTTCTAAAAGGAAAAAGAATCTAGGGTAGAAACTCTACCCTGTTGAACATAATTTTAGATTCACTTAAATTCTTGTGAATTTTCGTTAAATAAAAGCCCTAAATCATCTTTTACATATTACTTTTAGCTCAAATCCACATATAATAATAGGAAAAAACCAGCTGGTCAAAAATAGCTTTTAGAAAATTGACATTTATTTCAAAAAACCCGTACGGAAAGTGATCAGAATTTTAGGTTCACTTGAAAAAAATCAATAACTTTTTGCTTCTAAATGGTTTTCTCATGTTTTCTTTTGAATCCCCTTTTTGAAAAAGTCCTTTCCGATTTTTTGGGAGAGTACCTTAAATTTGTCCAATTTTGACGTTTTATAGCTCATCCTAAAGCTGAATTCAAGACGGATCGATTGGTAAAAACCGTTTTGAGATATCTCTTTTCTAAAAGTTTTTACAGCTATTTTAGTAAAGGGCGGCAGAGCCAAAAAATGGCTGTTTTCACGTTTCGTTAGTTTTCCGTGCAGAAATCTAGGCTAAAAACATGTGTTTCGTGATCAGCGTCAAAAATAACCCCTAGACACGCATTTTCAGAATCTTAGCAAAAATTTTTGAAAAATATTGCCACCGGTGGAAGTCGAACCAGCGACCCTCAGATCCCTTTCCGCCTTTCCGCCGCTTTTCGCGATTTTCCTTTGTTTTTCTTGTTTTTTACTAAAATAGCTGTAAAAACTTTTAGAAAAGAGATATCTCAAAACGGTTTTTACCAATCGATCCATCTTGAATTCAGCTTTAGGATGAGTTATAAAACGTCTAAATTGGACAAATTTAAGGTACTCTCCCAAAAAATCGGAAAGGACTTTTCTATCAACCCAATACTTTTGGACTGGCCACTCACCAGCTGGTGAGTTAGCCACTCACCAGATCTCAATCCACAAGAAAACAACTGGAGAGGCAAAATTTACGCCAACAACAAGCAATATAAAGATGTTAATTCACTCAAGAAAGCGATCATCGATACTTGGCATATTGTGAATCAAAAACTCTTTGATAACCTCGTTTTGACCATGGATAATCGTCTATTTCAAGTAATTCATCGCTCAGGAGGCTCAATTGATTACTGATTTGTTGTTTCTTAAGATATTCTCGTTTTGAATTTGAATAGAACTTTTTTTTGAGAAATCCGACATTTTATAGGCGCCAACCCAACCCGATTTAGATCTAATCAATTTAAGTCAATCTCAGTTTAATATTTTGCTTTTTGTAGAGATAAATGGTAACGAAAATCACTCACCAATCCAATCTGCCAATTTGGTGTCGCTAAGAATGATCTAAAGTCAATCTTTTCTACCAATTTATTGCATATTCCAATTCACATTCTTTACCCAATACGCTCAGTTTTAAAATTTAGAAATGCCAAAGAAAACCGCTGTTTCAGAGCCCGTTCAAGCCGGGCACATTGATCGTGTGTCTGCCTGCAGAAAGTCATCGGATCATATCCATCCTCCTCCAAACGGATACGCCATCCTCAAAAGAATGTCTTGGTTCTTTACGGATAACAGGATGGGGGACCCGGTGACGCACCTCTGGGTGCCCAGATGGCAGTCTTTGCGTGACGAATCTGTGGATCACGCGGTCCCCAATGTGTTAAGAAAAAATGTACCTTTCTTCTCCACAGCCTCCAACAAACCGTCAAGATTCACAAAATCGTAGCTAAATTTTGATGTTATTTTTTGAAAAACTACAGCAGAAAAATGGAAACAGCTAACTTTGAGTTGAAAAGTTAAGTAGTTTACCCCTTTTTCGCTGACAAAGTTAAAGCGCTCGTCAGGGCACTTTCGAAATATTGTGTGAAGAAAAAGCAGAACCAAATCCACGAGATCAAGAAGAACGCATTTGCTAGAGTGTATCTTCTAAAAGGTATGGCTTTTAGATTCTAAAAGATTCAAAAAAGATTCTGTTATTACATTTTTATGTGTGGCGTATCCTGTAAGAGTAGGGTCCGCAAAGAAATCAACGACCAGTTAAAATAGCTGTTTCTTCTTTTTGAAAGTACCCAGAAAGCAAGTGAACTAAAGTTGAGGATAACTAAGTGTTTTTTTTTACTCGGCCCAGTTCCCTACTTCTTTGTTCGGTCTCAATCCAGATCGGGACGCGAACTTTGAGCTTTTTTTCTTTTAAACACAAAAATTACCTTATAAAAAGTGTAGTCAAGAGTAGAAAGAGCACAGCGGGTTGCAGAGAGTGCAAAATGAAGTCTTTAACCTAAAACTTATGGGCTGCTATCCTACTTATTATAAGGTGCAAAGTTTGTACCGTATTTTCTCTAATAGTAGTGCACCCTGATCGTCGTCTAAATTACTCGAAATCTCCGCTTATCAGAACCTATCGATGTGGGGTCGGAAAATGTAGCTGACGATGAGATCTTGTGGGGGATTAAAGTGTTAAGCTTCTGGGAAAAATTGAAAACGGTAAAATAGGCATCAACTCGGCTCAGTGCGGTGCACTACTATTAGAGAAAATATGGTATGTCTGTGTGTATGTGTGTGTCTGTTACGCATCTTTAGAAAAAAACTACTAGGCTAATGGCTGAAAATTTGACACTTCTTAAACGAAATTTTATATAGTTTCTAAAAATCACATATTATATTATGGTAAGATGGGACTTTTTGAAAAAACGGATTTGTCGCTTTACTGTGTAATCCGTGGTCGAGTGGCTAAGAGGTTGGGTTACCAATCTGGAGGGATTCTTGGTTCGACCCACCTGAACGATAGAGACTTTAATTCTTTTGCTAAAAATTTATGAATATTATAGAGTCAGATTTCAAGCTTTGCCTTTGAAAGTTTAAAAAAAGCTATTACCATCAGAACCGTAGCCAGGAAAAATTTTTCCCGCCACCGTTTAGCTTCGTTTTAAGAACACTATTGAAATTTTTGAGGCAAATATTAGTTTATAAAAACACTTTTGGGCGCAACGCACTAAAATTTTTAAAAAACACGCCAAAATTTGCACAAAAAAATACAACTTTTCATAGGAACATTTAAAAATTTTGCCGCCGTTTCGGAGGGGGGGGGGGCATTTGCCCTCCTTGTCCCCTGACTACGGCACTGCCTCCAGCTAACTCAGTTCTAACTCAGTGACTCAGTTCAGGTCAACAGCTCATTTTCAGGGTCAACTCAAACCAGGGTCGAAAAAATTCTGATTCCCAAACAAGTCTAATAGAGATATGTGCTGAAAACTCTTTACTTGAAAATCCTCGTCCTCTGCTATGATATAGCCATAAACAATGTAATTTATGGGCACTGTGAAATCAACCTAAATTTTATTAATTTAAAAAAGATTAGCATTTAATAATAATAATACTTTATTCAAACGATAAAGTGAAAGAAATCATAGAGAAATGCACAGTGATACTTAATCATACAATACATACTGAAATCAATAAGCCAATTACTTACGGCAAAGAGCCACTAGATCTAAAGCATCGACACGTTTCTTGAATATGAAAAGCGACTGAATTTCTCGTATGTCGTTTGGGAGCAAGTTCCATAATCTAGCGGCTCTAACGGGAAATGAATTTGATAAAGAGGCATTGGAAGCAAAGGGAATTTGCAAAAGGAATGAGCCACTTCTGGGCCCTGACCGCGGTTTAAATTTGAAAAAGTCTATAAACAAAGGGCTAATCTGTTTACAACGGAGGATTTTGAAAGTTTCGACTAAATCAATGACAAAGCGACGATGCTGTAA